TCAGTTAGGAAGAGGGCATTTAGAACTTTAATAGGATGCTTTCGAGACCATCTTTGCCTCGACTGTTTAAGAACGTAAGGCACTAAGGGCGGGATCCCCAACGGCGGAAATTCCCGGTGAAATCCCGGTAGTTCGGTCCACCATTCATAGCCCCGCTTTGTTCTTCCAAGCTGCGTCCGGCGGAATTCCAGGTTTTTCGGTCAAACTTGGCTATGGCGAGTTCCAGGAAGGATAAGACGCGGACTTTCTTGGCGGTCGAAGCTGAGCCTGGGCAGCCAGTGGACAATGCGCGAGGTGCCTGTCCAAATCCGGCGCGAGTTTTGCTTTTAATTTCATGGTTCCTTCAAGCGTGGAGCACATAATTCACCATCCCGCCGAGCCGTTTCCAACCCTTCCCGAGCCGCTCCATCCTTACTTTCGCCTTTTTTCCGGACCGTATCACGTTGTCGTTAACCTCTCGGCAAACCTCAAACATCACCGCTACCGCGCTACGCGTCCTTGGTAATAGGTGGTAAGAAGAGTATGGCCCCAGAGTCTCATGGAGGGGAGGCCTCAAGGCCCCCCTAGGACGTGTAAAAAGGCGGCGAATCGAAGTGGAAGACGGTGGGAGCGGGCGAGGAGGACACTGAAAAAAAAATCTCGGTGTATTTACTAAGAAAAGGGTAAAATTACCAAAAATTCAGGGTTCTATTTGATCCCAGTTTTTTCTCGGTCAAATTACCATCTATGGGATTGGTAATTTTACCGAGAAATCTCGGTAAAATTATTGAACTTTCTCGGTAATTTTACTGGACCTTGGTAAAAACGCCAATATTGTTTATCGACTGTGGTAGAATTACCGAGATAAAATGGCAAAGTTACCGGGAATTGATTACCAATAAAAGTGGTATTCTTACCTGAAAAAACCGTAAAAATACCGGTTTTTAGGTAAGCTTACCAGTCTGTCTTGGTAAAATTACCAATAATTGGTAAACAAAGTGAGATGGTAAAGGTACCAACGGACCGTGGTAAAAACGCCGAGAATTTTTTTTCCAGTGGAGTTGTTGCCAACCTTTGACGTTTATCACCTTAGCACCTAAGGAGGCACCTTCTGCCGTGCTTAGGAAAAACGCCGTATGAACATTCGAGAGTTGCCAAATTTCCTCCAATAAAATGTTTATTTTTGAGGAGAGACCGAGAGACACGGATATTTCCTCTTGAAATTTTCAGATGATATAGATCCCATTCCGAAGAAAATTCGCTGATAAATTGAACGGAAAATATGCACAGGTTTTCCTGCAAATTCGTATTTGATCAAATGAAATTTGGCAACTGACGAAGGTACATACTGTGTTTTTTCTTAGCACGGCAGTGTTGCTTTTGAAGTACTTTACCAATGAAACCTCTATCACGCTGATGCGAATGATTACAACTTGAGGCAACACTCATGCCGCTGGCAAATTGCCGGGGCCTGCTGATTGCCTGCTACTGAAACAGTCTCGGGAAGAGGTGCAAGTGAAATCAATTCGGGGTGATTAGATTGGCATGAAACGTAAGAAAGAAAAGAAAGATTGGAAATTTCAGTGAAATATTACATGAACTTTCACGAGGCTGTAAAATTTTTCATATTTTTCCGGGGCTAGAGTATGCAACCCGCACTCAAACACACCAAAATAGAAGAAAGTCACAATTTACTGCATTTTGCGAGACATGAAAAGGAACCGGTATTTTTCAATACCTTTCATAAATTTCTGAAATTTCATGAAATATTTCACGTGAAATTACGAAATTTTATCTTTCATGAAATTTTACCACCCTGCACGGCGGTATGTATATCATCGTTTGGCGGGAAATATACTCTTAAACATAGTATATGCATTTCGGTTTACGGTGTGACGGACATGGTGACGGTGGTGAGAACTGGGTGGCAGAAAGCGCGGGATTGCGTTACAGCATGAGCTCATCGAGATCGGAACTGCGGAGAAGCTAAGCCGGAAAAGAGGGAAAAGCCGAAGGAGAGAAGCAGAAATGATGTCATTCGAATTTCGGCCCGGACCTGAGCTTGTTTTAGCTCCATCTCGCTTTTTTGTGACTTCACAAGTTGACCCAGCGAATCGCCTCGGCCGGCGGTCGTCCTGTTGATGGACAACTGGAAATACAATACCTCTGTTTGAATAAACATCAAAGTAAGATTTACCCCTTTGTCATGCTCCTCGTCACTTGACTAGTGTATTTGTAAATATTCACTTCAAAATACACCTCCTGTATCAAACCGGAGGCCCTCACTTGGATCCTGATGATTTTTAGGGGGTGGGAAGGAGCGGGGGTGCGGGGGAGGATTGCTGCGATGCAGAAGAGGTGTTCTGCCGTGCTAAGGAAGAACGCCGTATGAACATGCAAGAGCTGCCAAACGCCCCTTGACCAAACATGTATGTTTTCCGATATTTTTGCATATTTTCCTTTGAAATTTTCAGATATTTTAGATTGAATTTCGTACAACGTCTTAAAATTTTTTGGGAAAATATTCACAATTTTCCCAGTAAATTTGGATTTTGTCGAAGGAAATTTGGCAATTTCTTAAGGCTCATACAGCGATCTTTCTTATCACGGCAGTGTTAGACTCTCCTCTTTGGAATGTAAAATGATCCACCGAACTTGGGGACGCATCCCCTGGCCGCTACGCGGTGCAACCCCTGGAGGACGCTTCGCACCCTCCAAGATCCACTTCCTAGAGGGGTCATATTTCGACTTTTTTTTTTTTTTTTTTTTTTTTTTTTTTTTTTTTTTCTTTTTAAAGTAGATACCTTTACTCGTCATATTATTCGACGCTCTGGCCACCTTCAAGCCCTATGTCTTGCCGTTGCTGTGCTGCTCCCGTAACCAGATTTCTGTCCTAGCCACGTTTAAGTCCAGGTCCTAGCCACGTTTAAGTCCAGGTCCTAACCTCTATACTCTTCTATCAACTTTCGCATCCTCTTCATCTTGATCTGTTACGACTTGGTCATCGGCAAAGCATAGATTGTGAAGAGTCATTGGCGGATACAGGAAATTGGCAGAATTGTCTTTTCTCCATTTAAATCTATGGAAATGTATCGATTCTTGGAGGGGCCAGGTGCTTTGACGAGAATCGATTATTTAGCATTCGTTTAAATGGAGGGAATCCGGTGTCGCCAAATTTCTGGAGCCGCCTCTGTAGAATCCGCCCATCAGGGAGTGGAATGTCCAGCCCGGTTCACTTCTACACGTGTTCAAGGTATACCTTAGATGGACCGCGTTTATGGCAGAAAGGAACCAAGGGGCATCGATTTTTGATGATTTTAACTGGGCAATTTAATGTTTTTACGAGAGAACATTTGTGTGGATTCCTTTGAAAATTTTAAGATATTTGCTTCGTGCTGTACAGAAAATTCACTGAAATTTGCACAAAGATCCGCACCACCGTTTTCGTGTAAAAAAATGGCAATTGGCGGGCACCAAAAATGTTCCTAGGGGTCTCTTTCCGATATAGAATGGGTGAAACTTTTCAAGAAGGAAACTTCAGGAACCGAATTTCAGGAATTTTCTAAAAAAAATTATTTGTGACAAGTCCAATATTTTTTTTATCCTCAAAACAGTGGACGGTGTCAATATCTCAAATTCCTGGTCTATCAATTTGGTGTCCAGAAAAATCGTTCTCAAACTCTTTGTTTCCATTCCACTTCGAATATTTTTTTTAAAAAAATGGTATATTTTCCTAAAAGAGGTAGGAAATTGATGATGCAAAAATTTCGGCCATCTGTAATGACAAAACCATGGTGAAAGTCAGATAACTCATACCTTCGCCTCCAATTAATTTATTTATTTATTTTTTTTGGGCTAATTTTTCTTTTTTTAAATAATTTAATTTAGTACAATCAGTACCACGAAGATCTCATTTGTGATACATTTTACAAAAAATATAAAAAAACTCTTCAGGCTAACCCTAGTTTAATGGTCACAAGCGAGAGTTGCCTGGAGCTGGTTATTGAATTGACACTAATTTCGGGGGGGGGGGGGGGGAGATATTAAAGCCCTGGATTAGCACCTGAAAACCATTTGAAAAATCACATCTAAAAAAATTAACGAGGAATGACCCGGGTAATGACTATTTAATGACTGGTTTGTTTAACACTATAAAATTAAATGTGTCATTTACACTGTCACCAACCTCCGGGCGTATTTTCTAGCTTTAACCATGGATGTACAACGATGAGTATAGAAGGAAAACTCATGATTCGTTCCAGGAACTTTTTACCGTATCGACTTGTACATAGAAACTAAGCGAGAACTCGGCTGGAGCCCATTTTTCCTCCGACCATTATTAATGTCTCATGCGTTTCAAGAGGACGAATCATGTTGGCAGAGAAAACTCACGGTTCATAAAAGTTTTTCCGCTTGAGGTCGGAGCAGAGTTGAATGAATGGCCGTACGATTAGTCATGGTGTTAGTGCGGAGTGTAGGAGGTGGGAGGAAAACTTTGAGCGCGATTCGTCCGCTGGTTTGTCCTGTCAAGTGAATTCTATAAAACCATTTTTCGTGCGTCCAGTGTTGCGCCGACCGCTCGTGCTGCTGTGTGAGGCTCGGGAATTTTCGTTGACTCCGAGAAAACTGATGCCAGCGGTGACCCACATAATTTTATTATCTTCATTACTTCATTTGACCCGAAAGACCCATTATTTCAAATTTTACGCCAATAATTGTGTTTAGTTGAGCTTGAAGATCGAAAGCCAATCAAAAATCGGGACTAATTATTTTGGTCAAGGTGCCAACGTTACAAACTTTTATGTCACTGCCGATTAGAGTTTTGAACATGTTCCGAAATTCACACATTCAAACTCAATTTAGGCTTTCAGTTCGTTTATATTGGGCCTTAATAAGTTTAATATAATAAATTAAACAGTTTAAAGAGTGCGAATCAGTCATTAGACGTCAGTGAAATATTCATCCGCGCGGTTGATCGTTTGGTGCACTGGAGTTAGGTTGGTAATGGTAGCCTTCATTTTCGTAGTGCTTTCGTCCATTCGTTGTTCGCGAAGCGTTCGGTTGTTAATTGTGTGTAAATTGTTAAGTTCGTGTGTTTTGTGTAGTTTTTAAATTAAAGTTCCTATTAGATGCACAATGGCTAATCAACATTTTTGTTTACGGTGGAATAATCATCAAAGTACATTAGTATCTGTGTTCGATTCTCTTTTAGAGAGCGGGACTTTAGTTGATTGCACTTTGGCAGCTGAGGGCCGATGTATACAAGCTCACAAAGTTCTTTTGTCTGCATGCAGTCCTTATTTCGCGGTAAGTTGCATTTTCGCAAATTTTGCGAATTTGCCGATTTTGAAATATGCCGCTAAATTGCCGAAATTAAATTCCAGTTTCATGCTCCCGTGTCGTTCTTTATTTATCCGATTTAATGTTTTGAAAATGCCTCATGGCTTCTCCCTCAAGGGTCCATCGTGTTTGCACGGGAACATGTTGTCGGTACGGCCGTAGGTGCCTTTAGATTCAATTATGACTGGAAGTACTGAATAGTTTGGCGTTTAGACAGATCATGCTGTCTGTTCGTTTAATTAAACGTTGAATGGGTCCAATTTTCCAAATTCTTCATTGAATTTGAATTTTGCCTCATTGAAGTTTTTGTTTACTCTAACCACACTATCCTACTGTTTACTTCCCCGGTCACTCCATGCCTTCACTGTTGATCTATATCCAAAGTCGTCTTTCTCGGCCGCTCAGCTTTCATCCCTTTAAATTCATCTTTAACCGCTTCACCATTGAGCCCTCTCAATCTACTTCCCTCCTATTACGCTCCAATAATTGTACTAAGTCGTAGTGCAAGTGTCTCCGATTTCATGTGGAATGCCTCTTTGTTCGGCAGCTCCATTACATCTTTTCTACTCATGGTAGGGTTTCTGAATAAAACCAATGATTGTGCAATGCTGCATTCCTACTAAGCCATTGCATCCTTACTGCCGTTTGAAGTTAGATAGTTTATGTCAGTTTTCTAACGTTAACTTTCGTAATCCCCATTTGAGTGTTGCATCAGTTAATCCTTCTTTGACTTTGCTACTGTTTTGACATCAAGGCAATATTTCCATCTATCAACCCAGGCTTTATTCCTCATGAATGGACCAATATTCCTATAGCTCTTAGGAGAGTTTTATCCCTGGAGCTTGCGCTTCGCATGTTGAGACAAATGTCCAAATATCGTTCATGTCACCACTCATTAGTGATGCCATCGGACTGCATGTGTTGACTTGTGTATAACCTGTGAAGTTGTACTAATTCAGAGCTAATTAGTGATTGACGTTTGTCTCAACATAGATGCGCGAGCTCTAAATTTCAAGCTAACTTCAGGTCATAGGAACAGGTGTATAGCGTACGTTTTTTTTCCGTACGTTCGAAAGCTCATTGTTTCCATTCAACTGCAAGGTTTTGAAAAACATTTGGTTTGCTAACATACATTGTTTAGACTCTTATCCAGATCTCACTATTTGTCCACTTTAGTTCGTGATGCATCAGGTCGAATCCACTGTATCTAGCCGTGGACATTTTCTTTTCTGTGCCTGCCGCTCAATCTATGTACATTTTAATTTGTTCCTGGGATCCTATTTAGAAAGCTGTAATTAAAGGTTCCTCCTCCCTGCCCAATTCTATGTTAGCTATTTTCATGGGTCACCAATTTACTTTGTTGATCATTTTAGCGTATTCAACAGATTCTCCTTCACATTTTGAGTGTTTAATATTTTTAAGTAAAGTCCGAACACATGATGAATCAGCATCTTGGGAGAGGACGGTTCGTTCATCTTATGTTGAGACTTTAGATTGCGCTACTTTTCTCTTCATGTTTTGGGAAGCCAGTGGGTTGAGATTCACAATTTGTACTACAAGGATAAAATTTAGAGAAAATTTCTCATTTAGAAAGCAATAAATTTAGGCTCTTTTGTTCTTTTTGTTCTTTAGGGCTACGGAATTTGTACAATTTAAGCAACACCTGATGGCGGTCCTCAGGTTTTGAATTCCCACTCCACATTTGCTTAGGGCCACATCTCTACATAATCTGTTCTCTACACACCATATTTCTTTCACTTGCAATATCCAAGAAACATCTTCAAACACAGAATCATGTTTGAGTAATCTCCTTCAAGGCTTTAGACCCAAGTGAAAAAATTTTCAAATACATACTGCAGTATATTTGTCAATTCTCCTCAGCTCAGTTGAATAGAACATTGTCTTTCATTAAATTGGAATTTGATTTCTACTCATTCTGATTCTGCCCTGTTCCACAGCTCTTCGGTACATTTGTAGAAGCAAAGTTTCAGAATCCTTACCCGAAACCAACATGTTAGCTACCATTTGCCCCTTGGCTTTTTAGAGGTGCAATTCTCTAAAACGCAGGTCCTTTCTCTTATTATCTCTTGGTAGAAAAAGAAAATTGGTCTGTATTTACTGCAAGAATTTATTTTTCTTTTCTTTTGTTTGTTTGTTTCAGATGATTCTAAGTCAACATTACGACAAGCATCCCATCCTAATCTTAAAAGATGTTAAATTTCACGAATTGCAATCTATGTTAGATTATATGTACCGTGGTGAAGTCAATATAACCCAAGAAAATCTGGGTTCTTTTCTAAAAGCTGCCGAATCATTACAGATAAAAGGCCTCACGGACAGTGGAGGAGGAGGTGAACGAGAAGCAGGTTTGAGTTCCGCGTGTGCAAGTCCTGTGTTTCACGATAAAGATAGTGCATCCCCAAGTCCAGTATCTAAAATTAAGCTAGACACTCCTATGAACAATATTAGAAAACCACAACCCGTTCTTCCTAATTTAAGCCAGGTCTCTAGATCTCAGATTCCACCTGTTGCTGGTCTTACAAACCAGCCGAAAAAGCCTTTAAAACATATCATTGACTCATTAAATAAGAATAATGAAGTTATCAAACGACGTAAACCTATACAACCAATGAAGTTTGAAAACAACATGATCGTTTCTCCTATGAGTGCGCGGTCGCATCTATCCAATCACCTTGATGTTAGCAATGCACTTGATGTGCCAGCTCAAGCGCCTTCGATTCCTGTACCAGAAAACAAAGCAATGTATCCGTTACTTCCAGTGCCTTCCTCCTTTCGACCGTCTTCCCCTAGTAACCAACCACAATCCCTAGTTGTTGATAAAGAAAATAAAGAGTGTGATTCTACAAAAATGAAAAACGATGCGAAAATGAAAAGTGAATATGGTTCGGAATATTCTAATCATGATGACAGTACAATGGACCAATACAATGACGAAGAAAACGAAGACGATGGCAGCGGCTCGGATTTTGAAAAGGCAGGCCCCTCTCATGACAACAACAGTCACTCTGACAGTAAGTCAATTCGATGATTTTTTTTTTATTATTATAAATTTAAAAAAATAATTTGGTTTTATAAAAATTATTGCCACTAACTATTCAGTTTTTTTAGATTTTACTGTAGAGAAAATGTCTATCAGTGTCCCTTCAATTTTTTCAGGGATTTGAAAGAAAACTGCTTCTTCTCAAAATGTCCTCAAATTCTTTAACATTTTCAAAAACTAACACCAAGTCTTGTCTACTAAAATTTAAGCTTAATTGCCTTTACCTTGAGGGAAGACTCCTTTAAAGTATTGACATTATCTCAGAGCTACTGATCACTTGTTCATTTGTCATAGGAAAAATATACACAGAAACGTAAATCTCTAAGATTTTATACTCATGCGCATGATCAGCTAAGTTCATTGAGCCTATAGAAAAAACAGAACAGCTTAATTGAACCGTTGAAGGCCCAGGGTGTGGTTTAGGGGTATTGAATTTTTTTGTTTGCTGAATATTTAGAAGGTACTCATGATTACCCAATATTTTGAACACAAAAATTATGAAAAATGACAGATGAAAACAGAAAATCCTCTATTGTACTTGAATCTCAAAGTACTGCAAAGGAAGAGAGACATGATAAAAACATGTGGCTCTCCATGTTATACATTAAGTTATAATGTTCCAAACATGATTCTAGATCCTGTCGACCAATAATAAGAAACCAGAATTCTTGTCCAGTGGTTTTTTTCGTATCTCTATAAGAATGTTCCATTGTTCGCACCTCCTGATTTTTTTCTGAATTTTTGCAGGTACCATGCGATGGGAATCGTCGAGTGACGGGACTCCCCATGACATGACAACTTCTGTAGACTCACAAGGTAAGATTGCATGGCATTTGCTCTAAGCTTGCTAAATCTGTCTATAGCTGTCTGCACCAATGGCTGTGATTTTAGGGGTGGAGGTTTCTTCTTTTCTCCCTATCCATTTCAATAACCCATCCCATCCAATATTCTAAAACAATTTCACAACCCGAACATTCAATAAAGTGAGCGCGTTATTTTACTTTCGCATTGAGTTTGATGTATAAAGTGAAGAGATGTGGCAGTTGCAATGCAGTAAGGGAGGAGGTGGGAAGAATGAGGTAATTTCATATTTCTAGTCATGCTGTACCCAAGGAAGAAATCTGGGAAGTGCAGTCAGTCATGCAATTGCCCTGACTTCAAAATATTTTGGCACCATCTTTTTAGGAAAACGTTTTTTCCCACCGTTGCGGTTAACAGTCAACAGATGATGGTTCAATACAAACGTGGAGGTATCATTATGACATTTTCCTCCTGGGAAATTACGTTTGTCCTAGTTAATAGAGCCCCCAGTTAGTTTTTTTTGAGGCTTCATTTATAAGAAGTAGGGATTTCCCTTTTTTGAAATCCAATTTTATTTCTTTGACATCACACAATACTCACACTCATTAAGTCGTAAGCTGATTCATAGAGAGAAAAGCTGGTCTTTACTGTCATGCAGTGTGTTATGCTCCATCAATCGCTTAATGAACTGCCGAGTATTAAGATTAAGCCCATGTTTTACACATTCCTCTATGCTTATATCATCAATGAAAATTAGTTGACGATCAAAAAGTCATGAGTAACATATTTGTAACTCTTGAAGTTAATTGTTGGCCCTTCCAGGAAGACGTGAACCTCACCAAAAAATAGGTCTAATTTTTTTCATCAAGCACAAATACGGATGAAAAAGTTGAAAAATTACACAATATTCCCTTGCCTTTGAAATAATTAACACAAAATTTCTCGAGTAAATGCGATCCAGTATCAAAGAAATTTCTAACATGAGTTGAGGTTTCAATTTTGTTATTTGTTCCTCTATTCACGAAAGCCAGACCTAACTTCAGCATATCACCCTAGCTCCAACAGTTTTATAAATAGCTCAAACCTTTATACCAAGGGCAGAAGCTTTGTCCAAATGTTCTTTTTTAGAGCTTGACTCAGAAAAAAAAATGTCTTACTTTCCAAAAACTTGATCGAAACTCGAAAAATCGCACGTGTTGTTGCGATTGTTGTGTCTCTCGTTGCGATTATCTCAACAGTTCAGACTTACAAACTTTTAGACAGTTATTCTACCTTCCTCTCAGTCCGCCGTACTTGAAGAGCCAATTTCTCGCCTGTGACATGGTGCACGGAGCCCCTTTCTCACTCGGCACCTAAGTACGTGACACCTCTTAAATGACTGACAACGCACATAAAAAATCTAATGTGGGTAGACCCTGAATTCTTTCAATGAATGTTGTATATTATCAATCCAAAAAATCAGAGAGTGTTGTCTTCATAAATTTTCCCAGAGACTAACCAAAAAAAGGAGTGAATTTTGACTCCACGTGACAATTTAGCAGATATGTCAATACCTTGTCACGATGATGCAATACGTATTACCACAATCGAAGGAAACCTATGAACCAGTCCCTCCACCTCTCCTCCCCCACCTTCCGAGAAAAACAGAGAGGAAAATGCTGGAAAACTGGAAAAGTCAGGGAAATTCCTAAAATGTCGGTAAATACTCAACTTTTAATCATCAGAAAATTCTGGCACCAACCCGCGAATTTCCTTGCCCTTTCATAACTTTGATGTCTCCGGTTAATTCTTTAAGTTAATTCTCTATCGCTTTAAGTCCGGCTGGAATCATCATCATTCTCTTAATCCTCAAAAAGTCAGGAAAAGTGAGGAAATATTTAAGTGCAAGGAGACTTGTCACTCTTAAAAAAAAGGCAGAAAAAAACTTGTTTGGTTCCTCACGAGCCCTCGATGTGAAATGTTCTAATCTGCTGAAATACACGCAAGTGAATGTCATTCCATAACGTCCCAGAGTGTTACATTTTCACAAGATTTTAAACCAGAGAGTATGAGTATGCCCCCTGACCGCTTCGCGGTACAACCCTCCGAAGCACTTCGCGCCTCCGGCGTTATGCGTAACGCGTTACTCTTATAATTTTACACTATATAGTAAGATACGTAAATCTCTATTTAAGTCTGCTGTGCTTTAAGGATCAACTCCGTTTGAACATTCGAGACTTTTCAAATGTCCTATGATATAACGTGAATTTTTGGGGACATTTGTGCATGTTTTCCCCCGAAATTTGCTAGTATTTTGGATCAAATTGCGACCAAAATTACCTCAGTAAATTCGAGTTTTATTGGAGGAAATATGGCAACGTCTGAAGGTTCTTACGGCGTTCCTCCTCAGCACGGCAGAATTGCCTGTATCGGGGTAAAAAATCTTTTTAACAGGGTATCTAGCATCAGGATTTAGTCCCGATTTCATCAGGAATTGAGGAAAAATCGGTAGTCAAATCAGGATTTGAGAAAAGTCGGCCGTCTGATAGGATTTTTTATCGAGCTCTTTTTTGAAGTTACATTCGCCTTGCGTGAAGTTCTTCTCCATAACTTTTCTCCGCAAAAAATCAGAATTTAGCAGTCAAAAATAAGGAAAAATCAGAATTTCCTCTACTAAAAAAACTGGACACCTTGTCTAAATACTGTGAGCCGAGCCCATAGAGTACTTGGATGCAAAGCGATTCAATATTCGTTCGGAAATTTTCCTTTTAATCTCTTAAGTGTCGGTGGGCGCTCAATTCTGCGATGCTAAGGAAGAACGTCGTATGAACATTCGAGAGTTGCCAAATTTCCTTCGTTTAAATGCTTTTTTCAATAGAAAGTTATGAATATTTTTCTTTGAAATTTTCAGGAGCTCAGGGTAAAATTGCGAACTAAATTATCCGAAAAATTGGAAGGAAAACGCTCATAAGTTTACCAGGAAATTCGTGTTTTATCAAAGGAAATTTGACAACGCTTGAAGGTTCATACGGCATTTTTCCTGAGCACGGGAGTATTCGGGACGTCACTTGTATTTCGAGCGAACTTTTCGGAGCCGGCCACTTGACCAATTAGCGCTCGACGGTCGCGTAGGCCCGGGCCAGACTTTTGCGCTGCGGGGAGGGGGTGCGGGGCGGGGTAGCGCCGTTCGGAATCTGAATTTTAAAGTGGACGAATTACGTAAACCGCCGGTGGCGCGAACGGCAGGGGGGACGGGTGGGTGCCGGGGGGTTAGGGGGCACAGGGGAGGCCACCAACGGCGAAAAAAGGAAAAAGAAAACGGAGAGAAAAGTTGAGCCCGCGCACGGGATCAGTATGCGTGATCAGCGCTTTGGCTCGGAGCACTCGATCAGAAGTAATTCGATAATTTATATCCATTTTTCCTCGTCAAGCGGCCGGGGCGACCCGCGCTGATTTTAATTTCTGATCCGCCGCCGCCGCAAGCTCCGCGGGTCCGGCCTAGCTACTGCCCGTAGCCTTTGTCGCGGATTCGACCGGACATCTGGATCGCGTTAAGTGGAAAAGCCACATCAGCTACTGCCAAATTTAATCGGGAAATTCTATTTTTTACTTGAAAATGGTCGTGCGGATTCGCTTGCAAATGTCAGCGAATTTTCTTCAGAGTACGAAGGAAATTCCTTGAAATCTTCAAAGAAATCCGCACAGACGTTCTCTTGTAAAAAATTAATTGTCCAGTCAAATTTGGCAATAGCTGATGTGGCATGATGTTCCTTTCTGCTTAACGCGGTCTATGTGCGCTTGTGGCCCGCCGCTGGACATGCTGAGTTAAAAAGGGAAGAAAACCCCCTTGCGTTAGGTTTTGTAGTTGTCTCAAAGTATTTTTTAGTACTAAGGGTTGCTGGCGGTCTGGAAAATCAGGGACTTAGGGACTACTGGGAAACTTTAGGGAATTTGTGGCAAAAGTCAGGGAATTTTTTACACATCTACTAAACCCTAAAACTTATCACTAATCTTCCAACTGTTCACCCTTTCTGGTCATTTTTAAGGTTTGCCATCTTTTAAACAGCTACTTAGTGCCCTTTCCATAATTTGAGTTCTAAACAGGGAGAGTCTGTCCAAAATTTAGCAAAAGTCAGCGGTTTTTTTCTTTTTAAAAAAAATTGGAAATTTTGTTGGAATGTTGAGAAAGTCATGAAGTTAAAACATTTTTGATTGAGGGAAAAGCCAAAATAGTCAGCGAAAAGTCAAGAATTGCAGGGAATTCGAATATGAAAAAATTATGACAATCCTACCGCATTCACAATCAGCCTGACCGCTCAGAAACAGCCACTGGTCTCGCTTTGTACTGTCTCCCGAATCCTCGAAAAGTTTTCGCAATAGGTCGGCCCGTCGCCAAAAGCTCCTTGCCCCAAATACCAGTATCGCAGTCAATCCAGGGGACTTTCTCGTATTACATTTATGAGATCATCTTGTTGAGTGTTTCAATGAATGAGTTGCAGACGACTGTCCATAGGTGCGGTTGCCATCATCGATATGGGTGGTCTTTTTTCGGTTTTTAAACAGATATCGAGTTACGACAAAGTAAATTTGGAAGACACCGCCGAATTGACAATGATGTAATGACCGTTTCCATGCAGTCATGTCGGTTGAGTTCAGCTTCCTCGGCATTGATTTCAAAGGGGACACATTCAAATGATCTTTTTGGCATTTTTTAAGTATGTGTGAGTATTTTGCATCGGGTTAAGTAAACCATTAAACGCATTAAATACCTTGTACCTTGTATAAACTTTGCGACGCTCTACCACGACTGATCGCTACATCGAAGTGTCAGCAACTGTCTTAATCCTCGAGTAATAAAGCTCATAATAAATCCTCGACCTGATACAATTTTGCTCCCAAAGAAAGAGATCGATGAAAGTTGTCTTTTAACGGAAGAACTTATCAATATTAGTATTTTAAATGGACACGTTTCATGATTTTATTTTTTATACGACTCTCAGATAGAATGAGACGGGACAGGCCTTCTTACGGCAATA